GGGGGGGGGGGGGGGGGAAAATATCCCTGTTGCCTCCCTCCCACAGGTACGCCAATGGTGCACACGTGTTGCCGTTCTCACCTGTTTCAACGATATACGGTGTACACGTATTTCGATACGGATACGTTTTCATCGCGCGATCCAACCCGTCTCGGTTAGGTTAGCGTTTAAATGTACATTACTCGATTTCGATTATGACGCTGAGCTTTACACGTTGTAGTAACAGCGGGAACACGCGCGATTCGCGGATAGAAACTTAAGCGAACACGGGCGTTTCGATCAGTACATTCTTATTACAGCTCTCGTCGAACGGGCAAAAAAAAAAAATTCAGAATCGGTGCACGTGTACACGGTTAGCGTGTGTTCGGTTTTTTTTATTTCTTTTTCCGTGCGCACGGGATATTTGTTGTTTTCGACGTCTCGTATGTTGTTATTATGGTGCCCTGCCCATGAAATTTATAATTGTATAATTATAACATTTACGGTGTTCAGTGACCCGATTTCCGAGAAAACAAAAATCAATCGAAAAGCAACTGTACACCCGAGAGTCTGTACACGTTGTAGTGATTTATTATTCCGACGATTTACGTACTCCGTCGCGTTTTCGATCGTCGATCCACGTATGTAACGCGTGTGTAGGAGAAGCTAAAATCGGATCACGCTCCGGTAGGCATTTATGGTTAATTTAATAATTATTGATGATTGGTCGTACTGCGTCGTTTCGGCTGTTTTAGGATAATAATATTACGAGTCCGACAAATTAAAATTTAAAACCGACTTGACCGGTCGTGGTTAAAACGTATGGGTTTCAATAACTACAAAACGTCACTCGATTGTCAACGAATTCTAAACACAACAATAATTAATTATGACGCTTTTTCCTTTTCATTATCGTGTACGGTTTGTTGATTTTTTTTTTCTTATAATAGAGTTTGAAATGTATACATTTCACAGTGGGAGATGCACTAAACAAGAGTTATAATTAGCTTAATATACACTATTATAAGACTTTATTACGAATTACAATACTCGACGACCATGCGCGTGCGCGTACATATTCCCGTACGTAGTAATAATAATCTTTAATTCGATTGATTTTACGCAATGCAATTTCAATTTAAAAACATTCAATTACGCGACAAGTGAACAAGTGTTTTTTTTTTTTATTATCCTGTTAATTTGATTTTCAGCTTTAGAGCGTGTAGATATTTACCACAAATCATAAGATGTAATTTATTTTGTAACTTAATACCACGTTATATTATGTATAATTGCACATAATGCTCAACACGGTGGGAAAGATTATTTAATCGCACTTCTACTGGTTTATAATACCCCGCTACACCCTTCGAATATGTGTAATACGTTGAGTGTAGTGATTTTGATCAACGCGAGAATTGTTCGACAGATAATGGCAAGAGTAATTATCTACATTTAATTTTTTTTTATTCCTTTCATAATTTTACATGCAGTACACGAAATCAGATTAGAATAATTTCTATTGATCGTTATGCACGTCGATCGAAAATTATTAAAATATTCATGATGCGTAGTTATTGCTAACCGATAATATTAGAAATTACCATTGACGGATTTTGGTTTTGAAATCAAATCTGTTCGTGAGATCAATCCTTTTGAACATAATATTTTTAAAGATCTAATCAAATCCAATTAAAAAGTTATAACCCGAGAAAACACGATTTTTCTATAGCTGTGCTGGAGATGCGTTTCCCCAGTACGGCTATTTACCAATTATAATAAAATTGAAATTCAACTTATACATTATTATGTACTTTTTTTGTACAATTTTTTACAACCAAAACAAAATTGTGTACCGGGTCCACATACGTAAAAATCTAGTTCGATCAGTAAAAAGAGTGAAAAGAGAAGAAAAAATAACGATACCGTGCCCATGAGATATCTTCGATTAGGAACAAATGTTAATATCAAATCATTCGTTTTTGAAAGTTGTGCATCTATGAAAAATTTACACGGGCTGTTCTGCCGTAAAAATATTACCAGTCCCGCGCAAAAGCCGTACAATATATTTTCCCAAGCCTTTGAGTTTTAACTGAAACATTCGACAGCGGTCGCGTTAGTTATAAATTTTTATGTTATCCGGACGAACTGCACATAGTGAAAGTACATTTAAATGTATTATTATAAACTTATACGATATTAAGCGGCAGAACGTCACTAAAGTTTTAATTGTTTTGATGAGCCAGACCGCATAAGAAATTATTATTTTTTTTTTCAATTCTATTTTAAACGAGAAATGTAATTAAATTTGATCAACATTTTTAATTTTATTTTATCGCCGATTTCCTCGAAATCGTATAATGACGTTTTCCTCTCGAAGACAGATCAATTCCACGTGCAGATGACCTTTCGTAGTACACATGTATTATTTGTTAAATTACTCGGCAACGCGAATTAAAAAAAAAAAAACTCTGGAATAAATGAATTGTAAAGAGCTTTGAACGTAATAAAAAATAAAACTATAATATCGTATATTCGTTGTTGGCTGAAAATAATACGCATAGTCTTTAATATAGGTATTTTCTAACTAAAAAGCTAATCGGGAACGACAATCAAGATGGTGGTTTCTTGTTAAGGTTAGTAATAATAAATTTTACATTATCGTGATATAGTGGGTACTCATCAACATCGGATGGCATGTTATCAAAGAAATTTTTCGCATGTTGCTTGTATCTGTGTTATCCATTCTAAATAG